GGTTCCCAGAAGTCCCCAGAAATTCCTACTTGGCGGGAGGGGTGGGGAGGTACGGCAGAGTGGTGGGGGGCGGCCCGAGGGGGTGGGAGAGGGTCAGGCCCAAGCTGCGCCTGAGCTGGGACTGGTCCCGCTGGCGCAGGGTAGCAGGAAGCTCTCCGCACACTCACCGGACCTGGGCTAGGACTGGGTCTGGCGCAGCCCAATTTGAAAACGGACACAAAGGTGGTCAAATGCTAATCAGCAAATGTTGGAAATCAGTCATGAGAGAAGTGCAGGGGCACATCACCAGGCCAGGCCACCACGTGAGCTCACAGCTGTTGCCACAAGGACGCCTGGAAGCTCCAGGTGGTACCAGAGCTCTCCCACACTGCTGGCCACACTGCCAAATGGTGCAACTGCTTTGGACCAAAGCTTGCCGGTTCCTTAAAATGCTATTTCACACCCCAGATCTGAAGGTGTGAAAACAAAGTAGGGCATGAAGAACAGAGACGGCTTCACGTACCCACCAGGGCTCCGTGGGGTCAGGATGGGGGCGGGGGCTGGAGAAGGTGACTCTGGCAGTGCCAGCACCTGAAGGTGGCACCTGCAGCAAGTGACAAATGCTCTTCAAAGAAGTAAGGATGTGACAGCTTGGAAGACAAAACAACTTAGGAAGACAACCAAAAGAAAAAGACGAGTATTTTCCCTGAAACAACCTGAGCTTTCCGCGGGGGCCAGCCACCCAGACTCACCCGTCTGGTAACGATGGGGTCGACGTCTCTGGGGTCCAGGTGGCTGAGGGTCATGAGGTCTGCATTGAGCGTCCGGATGCGCTGCAGGCGGAGGCGGATGTACCGTGCAGACGTGAATTCCAGCAACTTGGGGGACAGGTCGTCGGCGCTGGGTCTGCCGTTGATTAGCGACGTGTGAATCTGAGGATGCAACGGGCCATTATCTTTCAGCAAGTGAGGACACAGCCCTGGCTGCGTAGCTTTAAGACATAAGCTTTGTAACAACTGAGCTCTTTCAAGAATGTGTCCACGTGTGTCGGCCACTCAGGGGTCACCAGGTCCTCACTCCTGCAGCCGCTGGCAGCTTCCCTGCTACGCCGCGCCGCAGAGCCCGCGGGAGTCTCCCCCAGAGTGAGGGACGCCTTAGCATCCATCACCAGCCTCTGGCTTTGGAAAGGCCACTTCCGAATGCCGTGATCGCGATGCAGAAAGACAGGAGAGGGAGCAACACGCCTTAAAGAAACTGTTTTTAGTTCATGTCTGCTCTTGAAAGGAAAAGAACGCAGGCTTTCTGTAGAGCCCCCGATGTAAAGAGCTCTTTGGGGTGTTTTGTGGTTTTGCCACCTTGAGCCAGATGTGCGAAAGCAAGGGCAGCTTTCGCCACACTCGACCTCATGCAACGTGCATGGGCGGGGCGGGCTGGCCCTGGCTGGGTTTCAAGTCGTCCTCAGGGCCCTCCAACGAGAAGGGGGACAGGCAGAAGGGGAGCTAGGTCACTTGGAGGAAAGCCTGGCTCTCGTTCACGTTATAACAAATGCTCTTGACCTTTCATTCTGAAGACAGAGACACTAGGTAGGTCAGTGTGTCACAGCAGCAGAGGCTCAGGGAGCTCCAGGAGGGGGAGGGATCAGGAGGGGAGAAGGAACCCATGGGCACATGGCCCGTCCACTGAGACGCACACTTCGGGCAGCAGTGCTGGCTCCCACGATGCTGTGGTAGCGCGCAGGGACCGATGCGACAGCCCTCCCTGACTTACCTCTCCATGCTCCAGGGGCACAAGCCTGGAGTAGTAGGAGGTGCAGATCACTTCGTCGTCAGCTCGGTAGGTGGGCGGCCCGCGCCGCGGGGTTATGTTGTACCGGGTCAGGCACTCAGAGTCACTGATGGCGTAGTACTGCCAGGGGCTGAACGCAACTCCGTCCGTGGAGCGCTCCAAAATCCAGTTGCCAGGTCTCGGGGCGTTGGCTGCTTTGATGATGACATAGGCCACCTGGAAGACCTGAAAGAAAGCACGAGAGAACTCCATGCAGAATCAGGGCCCTGGACTCAGAAGGTGACGCTGCGCGAGCTCCGCAGGCAGCCTCAGAGCAGTGGAGGCGGGTGCTCGTGTCCGGCTGTGCGTGATGCGGCCTTGGGGTCAGCATCGGGGTCACAGTGACAGTGCGGTAGGGAGACAGGCCTTGTGTGGGAGACAGAGGAAGGGGAGGCGCAGAGGCGCAGGGAAAGGAGCGCGAGAAGGAACCCCGTGTGTGATGAGAATAACCATCCTGTACCCCCGACACCTGCTGATAAAAAGGAAAACAGAGAAAAGGCCGTAAGCTGGAAACCTACTGCGAGGACAGGCCTGAGATGCTCCTGCCGCGCTTTCAAAGGAGGTGGCTGTGAAGTGGTGCATGTGCCCATAGCCATCGGGACGGCGTGGGTGGTTTTACAGTGCGCATTTATATCAAGTGATCAAATTTTATTCTTTAAAATGTGTAAAATTTTTGAAAAATTAAAAAGACTAGCAACTGCTCAGAGCATTTACTGAGAAAAATATTGTACAATGATCACCGGTGACTCTTATACTTGCATGTATCGATTAACCATACATGTTAATTCAGAACATGTCTCATGACTATTCTCCAGGTGATACCTGTTTTCAAATTAAACTCAAAAAAGTATAAATAAACTTGCAGTTTAGTAGTAGTACTAAGTAGCATTACTAAGTAGTAGTACTAAGTGCTGGTTGTTCTGCTTCCAATGTCTTCTCTATCTGGACTGTGACGAACAGCACAGTGGTGGTGCCAAAGGTATTTTCTCACAGTGGTTTTCACAGTCAAGGCATCTAAATGTAAGAAAAGCCCAGTAACCACGTGTGTATCAGATGACTAGTGTCCAAAACTGGCAACACCAAGTGCCGACGGGGATGAGCAACAAGAGGTCCATGCGCTGCTGAATGGCACAGCCAGGCAGCTTCTTAGAGCCCGTGAGCATCTCCAACGCCTGCGCTGGGAGTCGCACTTCTTTGTGCTTACCCACAGGAGTACAGAAGTCATAAAACTTGCACTACGATATAGGCAGCAGCTTTCTGCACGAACACCCAGATGAAGAGCGACCTGGAGGCCCTGGACAGATGCGTGGGCCATGTGGCCTCCAGACTGACGTGGTGGGCGTCCAGAGATACAGCGAAGGAATTACCAAGCCACACAAAGATGGGGTGGAACCCTCAAGGCATGTTCTTACGAGAGAGAAGCTATATGTTGTATGATTCTACAAGCTATATGTTGTGTAATTTTGCTGCACAGAATTCCAGCAAAGGCAGAACTTTGCAGACAGTGAGGTCAGCGACTGCTGGTGGATGGAGGACGATGCACAAGGGCAGTGCGGGGCACCTCTGGGATGCAGGAGGTGGTGCTGCACTGGGGCGGGTAGACTACACCCATTACCTACAGGACGCACCACACCAACCCTGATGTAAACTATGGACATAATAACACCGAGGACACCAACACGGGCTCATCACTAACACAAGGCATCGCGAGTAGGAGCAACTCGAGGAGAGCTGTGGACGTGCTGCCCTTTTAGCTAAGAACCTAAAACTGAAAACTAAGGGGAAAAGTTAGAGTGGGAAGAGGGGAATGGAGAAAAAGGAGGTACCTGACTAGTAACAGCAAGAGGAATCTAGCCAGGCAAATCCCAGATGTGGAAGAGACCTCTGTCCAGCGCTAAAATGGATTCACCTCTCAGCCCCTCTACAGTAGGGACAGAAAATGCATTTGCTCCAGAGACAAGCCTTCTGTTCTAGGACAACTCCCCAAGAGAGACCGACTTTGGCCCTGGTGCAAGGTCCCCATAAGGCCTGTACTCTGTAAGTTTCTACAGAGAAAAGATGCTTGCTCCTGCTTTTATGGAGCAAACACCAGCGCACATCTGTCAAGGTCGGACCCCAGAGCCCACGCCTTCCATTTCAGCATCAGCGTCCTGAAGATGGCCAGTATTTCATATGACGTCACCTCCTTGACACGATGTTTCAAACACAGCCGTGTGTTAAACGCGGTTCCCAGGAACTGAGTGCAAAGCGCCAAATGTTTTCTACATCGGGAGGAAACCATAAAAGTGCCGCAGCCTTTGTTTCAGTAACTTGGCCTTGGCGAGCATCCACTCTTCTGAGGAAACCGAGACTTCTAACTCAGGTTGGGGCTGCAAACAACAAGAAAACGCCCTCGTCCATGTGGACTGTTTACTCAGAGTTTCCTCTACCCCAGATGGATTTCTTCTTAAAACCAAAGCCCAGTACTTTTTGTTTTTTAAACATAGTTCATTCTATGGGCTGTGCATCCAAGAAGTCAACCAACTATAGCTCAAAAACATTTTCTTAAGAATCGCATCTGAACTGAATGCGTACCAGTTTTTTCTTGCTTTATTCCCTAATCAATGCATTACAGCTGCTATCACAGAAGGGATCGCTGTATCCACAGCACATGCATGTGTGTCACATGCATGTATGCCAACGTGCACCCAAGCATGAACGCATGTGCTTACATGTACATGCACATGCCCCTGGGGAGGGCTTGCTCTTTATTTATCTTGAGTCTTGCTGCTTCTGGGTTATTTGGTTTTCATTTTTCTGTTTCATCCTATCCCTGCTTTAGCCCTCACCAAGTTCAGGAACACAGCACTCTTTAAAAGTAACCTGACACCGACTAAATGGTTTTTCTCTCCCCCATACAAGCAGGCCACAGGAACGGGCAGTCCCATCTCTCTGCATACCTCCGCCCATCTACAAGAGGCTCTCCATGGAGCTGCAGATGCGGGTGACCTGGTCACCCCCGTGCTGCTGTCCTCGGGAAGGCCACCACTGTTTCTAAAGCACCTCAGAAGCACATGCTGCCTTCAGTGTTTTGGTAGGTGAGGAGAGAGAACACCCTCCTGTTATGCATCGCCACGCAGTCGTCTTGCAGAACCATATAAGCCGAGCCATACAAGCACGTACAAGGTAGCTCCTCTGTCCTGTGCCTGTAAAACAGACTTTAACAAAGTGGAGATGCCGAGTGAGGCAGGGCAACTGCAGCCTGCCGGAGGGGAGCGAGGTGAGGTCATTTACAAGGCTTCTAAGCCAGGGCCTACTAACCTTCTGCCCCCCAGTTTCTTGTTTGTAAATGAGAAGTTCTAAGCCACCACCCGCAGTGAAGAGCAGTATTCGTTCATCTCATTTAACCCCAAGCAAGCCCACGTTAACTTCTGGTCCCTTTTGCACACTGGAAAACTGTTTCAAAGGAGCTCAAGAGCGAGCTGCTGGGCTGTAGGTTCCAATAAGAAAGCAGTGGACCCTCCTTGGGTCATGTGCCCCAGGTACACCACGGCCAGCACTTAAGCACTCTGGCCCTGAGCTGGCCCTGAACAAAGAGGCTCCTGCCGTCACCTGGAAACCAGGTTCCTAGCTAAGGATGCAGGCTGACAGCTGTCCCTGTGAATTCTGCAGTTTGGGACTTAGGCTGAGTGAGGACAAAGGATGGGCTCTGAGCAAGAAACAAATGAACAATAATTAGCTAAGTGCTGGACACTCATTAACAAGTCACAATTAACTTTAGCAATAAACTAAAACTCAAACAGCGGAGCACTCGCTGTGGTCAGGGACAGTGTGTATCGGAGGGCTTGACTGAGTCTCATGTCCCAGCGCCCTCCAGCACCAGGCTGGCTTTTGCACCAAGAGTTTATGTATAGTGCGTACGGCAAGGATGCCAACTGCAAAGACAGGCAGAGCGGGAAGCCTCCGCACAAGGGTGGCACTGGCGACTCTTAGGGCGTGCAGGCTGCTGGTGCGAGGCGGTCACTGTTCTCACTGCCCCTCAGTCTTCGTCCAGGTCCTTAAAGTGGGGACCAGGAAACAAATTAGAAAGAGACTGCATGGCCGGTCTGATGAAGAGGAAGAGGATGCTGCGGCAACGCTATATACAGCTTGTCTTTACTGCTCATTGTTCTACAATCCTCTCCAGTCTTCAAGGTCCCTACAATGGGGACCAGGAAACAAATTAGAAAGGAACTGCGAGTGGCCGGCCTGATAAAGAGGAAAAGGATGCTATGAAAATTCTAAGCGCAACCTGTCCTACTACTCTTCGTTCTCACAATTCTCTCCGTAGGCTTCAAGGTCCCCAAACTGGAGACCAGGAAATAAACTTTTTAAAACAGGACTGCAAGCACAGATAAAGAGGAAAAGGATGCTAGAGGAGTCTAAAAACAACTTGTCTTTACTTAAGCCCTGGGATGGGCAGAACTATTCCGCGCCCACTCCCATTCCACAGACTTCGTCCTCAGCCCCAGAATCTCAGAATGCAACTGTGTCTAGAGATAAGGCCTTTAAAGCCAGGATCCAGACGTCACGAGGCTGACCCAGTGTGGCCACTATCCTTCCAAGAAGAGATTAGGACCAGACACATACAGAAGGATAAACACATGGAACTCATGGCAAGTAGGGAAAGAGGCCACAGGAAGACTAACTCGGCCAACAGCTGGCTCCTGAGCATCCCCGGCCTCGAGGAATTCCTGTGTTTCAGCCACCTGGTCTGAGCTTATTAATGCAGCCCTAAATCACCTGTGTTGACAGTCACGTCTTTTGCATCCCACAGAAAAGGCCGGGCATTCTCTGCCAATAGATAGCAAATCCTGAACCTTTGTCTAAATGAAATCCGTAGCATTTCTGTGGCCCTTGTTTGTTTTGGCACGGCCGGCTGGATTCCCTGCCTGTTCCCTGGACGAAGGCTGGCTGAGCACACACTGTTGATGCAGGAATTTTTGCCAGGCCCAGTGGACACAGTCCTGCCCACTCTGCAGCAGATGATGCAGCCACTTCGAAATCCACTCTCAGCGGTTTTCCACCGAGTGGCCTTGTTAGCAATCACTGGAATGCACATAAACCATGTCACATAAATAACAGAGGCATACATCAAACGCCACCTCCACAAAGGAATCCAGACGGCAATTTTCATGCGGGCCTCACTCTTGACATAAATACTGTAA